TTTTGCGCAACCTCGCCACCGATGTCTGCCTCCGCGTCTGCGACCCAACTAGAGCCATTGAGCGTCGCAAACGACGCTGGTTGAGTAGCGCCACCCCTTTCTGGTAACTGATCCACTGGTGGAAATACATGAGCATGCGAGGCGCTGCACCGACCCTCCAGCGATTCCACCGAAGCCGAGACTGCCCGGTGCCCCATCCACCCCGGGCGGATGCGCCTCCAACGGTCCGCTCGACATGGTGACGGCTGGGTGCTTCGAGGCAACGGCAGTCTCCTCCTTCTCAGGGTCGGAGAGCGTGGCCCCGTGCGAAATTAATTGAACCTCCCGCGGTCAGCCTTGACGGCGCAGTACCTGACGTAAGTTGACCCACGCGTGGACATACATGCTGTTGCGTGGCGCTGCGCTGTGCCTCCAGCGATTCCACCGGCCCCGAGACTGCCCAGTGTCCTTCCGCCTCGAGGGCTGCAGCCTCCATCGGCCTGCCACTCGACGTGGTGACGGCTGGGTGCTGCGAAGGGATGGCAGTCTCCACCTTCTCAGGTGCGGAGGGTGCGGCCTCTGACGAACCATGCATCTGCCGCCCAGCCGTCGACAATAAGCCGGCACTCTGACTTCCCAAGGTAACCGCACCAAGGATTTTCCCAACTCTGCTGATCGACCGAGACGAACTCCCTGGCACGAAATGGGCGGCCTCTGGCTTCCGAGCGAAAACGCGGCGGCGTTCTGGACTGCTGACGGTGCCCTGCTGAGACGCGCTGCCTTCTCTCACGCTGACGGGCTTGCTCGCGAATTTTGCGCATGGCAGCGGCTCGCATGTCGTCCTGGACCCCTGCTGCCGCACATGCCTCGTCCAGGTCTCGGTCCTCAACTTCCATGAGGGCAGGTACTGCATGGTGCTCGGCACGAGGGGCATGGCCCTTGGCCTCACGAGGGCATGGCCCTAGGCCTTTAGGAGCTGGTGCCTGGCCCCTAGGAAGCCGGCGAGACGCTGCGACCAAACTCTCATACTGCTGCGGTCACTGGCCACGGAGATCTTGATGCTGGAGGCTGGCCAGCACCTTCTGGAACTCCTCCATCTGGGCCATGAGCTGCTCCATGGCTTGGATGGCAGGCTGCCCGCCTCCCACTTGAGCCACAGCTGCCTGGCGAACGGCTGCTGCAGCCTCCTTGGCCTCGCCGATGGACGCAACAAGGTCGGACCGCTGCTCTCTGAGCGTCGAGGTGTACTCATCCATCTCCTGAAACTCGGCTTCCAGCTTCTCCACCCGCTTCGTCATCTGAGCGGTAGAGCAACTGACTGGGCAACTGACTGGGCGGGATAGCCGCCCTCTTCTCCTCCTGGGCTGCCGGCCAAGCTGCATTGATCCCATCCCGCGCGGCGGCAGGAAGGGTGTCTTTGAACTGTCCGTTTGGGCCAACAAGCTGCACAAGGCGATGGAGTTCCACGATGGCCTCTGAAGCTTTCGGCTTACGATTGGGGTGAGCCTCACCTGATCGACGACCTGCACTTGCACCCAATACTCCCCCTGATCCCGACTTGTGCCACGGCGCTGGTCGAGTAGCCTGGACCTTGGGGAGCGCAGACTTGGAATGGTAACAAAACCGAAAATGACAAGGGTTCTTCTTGCACCCGCACGTGAAGCTGATGATCTGCCCGTTCGGTCCCCCATCGCGTCCGAAGACCCCGCGGCGCATCCCGCGCGGTCTGAACACGAAAGAAAGCGTGGGCACAAGGGGTGTCCCTCCCACAAAAACTGACAGAACCCCTTAAGCGAGGTTGGGCAGGCAAGGATGGGTTTAACCTCACCCTTGAGCCAAAATGGCTACGGTATCTCCTCCTCCTACTACTCCTCCTGGTCGTCGTCGATGTCTTTCAGGATCGGCGGCACCGGTCGTCAGGCCTTCACAATATATATATATATATATATAGATATATATATACATATATGTATATACCGCGGATGCCTCGGGCGAAACCAGCTTGTGAGCAGATTGCTCACAAGATCGGAGGGGTCGCTCAAAAGTATTGGCTGCGGATGTATCAGGCGAGCAGAGTTGTTTGAATACACGTCGCTCATTTCTAATCGTGTTCATTTCTAGTTGTGACCGTTTCTAATTGTTCCTGGCCCCCTAGTGGCCAGGAAGAGGCCCAGGATACAACAATCAGAAATGAAAGGATCCTGGCCCCCCAACGAATCAAAGGACTGTCGAATACTAAAGAATCATCAATGTGTACATATCTCAAACATACGGAGGGGCCGGTCAGAAGTACGGAGAGGGTGGCGCCAACCGTGGACCTCCAAAGATCAATCAGAACTCCAGGCATGTGTCTACAAAGCCACCCAACGGCTCTCCAGGTCAGAGTTCGGGCTCCCACAGATCCCCCAGGATCCCTCCCTCGAAGGTTCTCGCGCCCGACCGCGAAACTCAGCCCCAGCTTGGGAACTTCGCGCCCCGCAACAATGAGCCTCTGTTATCACAAGCAAGCGCGACTGCATGCTCCCGCTGTCATCGCACGGTCTCGAACACCGCGCGCGTCGCGCGACAGGCGGAGCATCGCTGCCAGTTCGAGCGGGCGTGTTCGCGCGCGCACCAGAGTTGCCAGCTTCGTTACAAGTGCGATTAGAACTGGCGGCGACGATATATCTCACGAACACCAGCAAAACGCGCGTGCCCAACACCTTTCGCACCCCACCTGCTGCGATCATGAGATGCCCGCGTTTTGAGGCATACGCTAAGACACTTCGGCATAAGGACCCATTCCGCGTATTCCGGCTTCCCTCAGAAAAAGAAGAAGAGGAGAGGAGATGACGGCGGAGGGCGCGAGCTAGCTTCGCCTGCCTGCCTCACACTGCCCCCCTCACACTGCCTGCTAGTTCCCGCTCCCCCCCTCACACTGCCTGCCTGCCGCATGTGAGCCCTACCCCCTGCAGGTCAGATGTCTGAAGCAACAATTTGGGGGAACAGAACGTGAAACATGCCCCAGCCAATGCCCACGTGCCGGTTCGACCCGCAAGCTGGGGTTCGCAAGCTGTCACAGCCTGTCCTCCTCCGCGCCCAAGCCGCGCCTGGAAGAGCACGACGTGCGAGTCAAAGTCGTAGTGAAACCGGGTGTCCTTTCAGCTGCTCTCGGGGCAGTCTCGGAGACGGCAGACACCACCTTCTCCATTCCTTTTGACACAGAAGGGTGCGCCACGTGCGCAGGATATTACCCGCTGGATGGCATGGCACAGCGAGTGATACAAATCAGTGCCGGCTCTGAACAACAACACGAACTTCAATCCATGATGAGATCGGCGCTCATGAGGAGCCTCGTACAGAAGAGAGGGGGCAAAGGAGGATAATGCCTTACGACGGCATCCCTGGCCCGATCGAAGTGCCCCCTGAGCGCCAGCCCGATCAATATCTGCATCCGAGCCAGACTGCGTTCGAAGAGACACGCCACAACAATTTGCAAAACAACGTGCAGGCACACATGCGTCCGCTTGGCACTCTCCGATGGTTACCTCCCGCGGCCCCCCCATTGGCAATGACCGCGTCCTTGCCCTGAGGAGCAGCCCAAACCTGGCAGCGGGAGCGACGATATCACCAATTGCTGTCGCTCCCTCCCTCTATTTGAAATCAACTGTCAAATTCGTCTCTGGGTAAGGAACTACTCTTTGGCACATCCTGTCGTGCCAACCTCATGAATTATATACGAAGGTAGTCTGTATTGTGGCCGTGATTCAGACGTCCGAGATCTCACTGGCATGTTACATCTCTCGGCGCAGCTGATGCTTCCTTGAGAGGGGGCCACTGCCGACGAGGGCACGTAACCGGGTTGCACGCAACTCCCCGAATTCCAAGTACCCCCAGTTGTACACAAGCAGCCGTCGCCACACGCTTCAACAGCAGGCGCGCCCCATTCAATGTGCTGCCGAGCCCGCGTGAGTTCTGGGGTCAAGGTGGGAGGGAAGAGTCCAGGCAATGGTCGGTCTGTCTCGTAGCACGCCACAGGTGAGGAGCGCATTGGCCTCTCTAGCTCGGGCCCTGGGAAACGAGCTGCATGGCTTCACGCAGAAGTCGGAGAAAGCTAAGAAAACCCTCACATGAGAAACCTGAAGGCCTGCCGACGCCTCGAAACACCACCTTCAATCGGGGATCAACCGACTTGAACGTGCGAGACAAGACCAGCAGAGATACGGTGGGTAAAGCTGGCGTGGAGCATCAGCACGCAACGCAGCAATACACACAGCACGTCCCACCAGTCATTAGCCAAGGCGAACGACAATGTACGAATGATCGCAAGTCAGCGACCACAGCGAATTCTCATGCTGGATTGCAATTGCTCGCTTGCTGATGGCGACTGCCTGACTGCGTGCGGTTGTTTACTTGCGACCGCCATCCTGCGCTCCCTGGCGGGCTCGTTTGCGCTGTTGCGCTCGTTGTTTCTGCCTCTGCTCCTGGCTACAAGTCTATATATCCCCCAACCCCTGGCACACACTTTGCCGCTATCCCTATACATAAATATTCGTCTTTCGAGTCGCATGCCTATCCAAGAATCTGGACATTGCGTCCAATATTAAGGACGAAACCACTCTTGCAAAGAACGGAAACTGGCACGGGCACTGCGGGCACACCATGCCACGACCACCAACGTCCGCCAACCACTGTGACCGCGCTTCGAGCGGGAACCTCTCGGGACGATGTGGGTTTTGGACGGCAGCGCCAGCTGGACCTGGAATGCTGCTGGCGCTGAAGCGGGAGCGCCGCTCCTGGCTGGAAGCACGGCCGGCGCTGATGCGAGGCCTTTTCCGAGCTGGGAGCATGGCCGCCGCTGATGGGAGAGCACCCTTCTGAATCGGGATTGCGGCTGGCGCTGGGGCGGTAGCAAGGTCCCCAGCCAGAAGCGTGCACGGCGCTGAGGCGGCAGGGGCACCATTTCCAAAAGGCAGTGCAATGTTCTGGGCGCCCTAGAGGTCCTACTCCTGCCTCCCTCCCAAATGTGCCCATCAGCGGGCTCACTTATGGAAGAGCTTCTTCTTCTCCACCTCGGCCTCGGAGGCTGTGTAGTTCTTGTCGAAGATCCGCCCTTCCGGCCGCCACTCCCCACGCTCCAGCCGCGCCGCGAAAGTGCGCGCCACTATGAGAGGTACTACTAGGGTGGCCTCGGAGTAGATCTTCACTGGTTCGGCGTCCACCCTGATCTTGCCCCAGCTCTTCGCCTCGTCTGGTCTGGCGCCGCTGTCGGAGCCGTCGAACTCCTGTGCGGTGCTGACGTAGACGACGAAGTCGGCGCCGTTCCGCATGAGGTTGGCGTTCATGCAGTGGTGCTTTACTACACCCCCGCCGAGGACGATGACCCCAGTCTTCCGGGCCTTGATGGCCTGATCGTTGACCGCGCGAATGTCCTCCACAAGGTCCACTATCAGCCCTGGCCGCTTGTAACTGTGGAAATAGAGCATGTCTCCGATTGACCCGTCTGTAATCGCAGGACTAAAGATTGGTATGTTGTTCTTATATGCCCAGTAGCACACAGACTCTGGATTGTCGATCTCCTTCCCGAAGCGATGGATCATCCTGGAAGGCGTCCATCTCACCTTGTCTTTTTCTTGCTCGTCGTGCATCTGATCAAAAACGCCACGGATCCAATCTTCAAACAAGCAGTAGTTATCGTTCGGTGCTAGAAGATTCCCGATGCGATTAATGCCTTTCCTTCGAAGCCCTAGACCGTCCATTGCAAAATCACCGATGTGCGTCGGCGCAAGACATTTGATGATATCTTCCTCGATGCCTCCAGCTGTAGTAATCATTACCTGAACCATGCTATGCTGCACCAAGAAGCGGATGGTCTCGCGCAAACCAGAACTGATGAGATTGGAAGTGTATGCCAACCATATCTTCGTTCGCACCCTCTCCCGTACCTTCGGATCCTGAAATTCCGCATCCTCGTCCTCAGCTACAGGCTCCTGCGCAAGCGACCAGTCCAGCATCTTATCCGCTTCCGTGCCTTCAGCACGTAGGTGGAAAACACCGAGGCTTCTGCTGTTCTGAAAGGTCCAGGATACAGCGTTCCTACAAGTTTCTTAAGAGCCCAGACCCCCAATTTCTAAGCGTTTCCTGGGAATGTCTGAAAACTCTCGGGGTGTGTCGCTTGCGTGCTGTGGATGCCAAAAGCTTCCGAAACCGGGCCACGAGGTACCGAAAGTGCGGCCAAGACCTCAGAAAAATAACTCAGCCAACTCACCCGATCTTTGACCCACGGGGGACCTTAACTCCCCCGATCCTAACTGACCTGCGCCTAACTCACCCTGTCTAACTCACCCGATCCTCAACACACCCGGTCTAAATCACCCAGCCTTAGCCTTACCTCACCTGGCGCCGAAACTTGGCAGTAACTCACCCAACGCCTAACTCACCCAGTGCTTCACTCACCAGGCCGGCGCTTAACTCAACTGGTGCCCAACCCAACCTGAACTTAACTTACCCAGAGCCTAACTCACCCAGGGCCAAACTTACCCGTCGAAAAACTCACCTTGTACCTAACTCGCCCAATGCCTAATTAACCCGGTCGCTAACTCATACTGTTGCTACTCACCTGGTCGCTGACTCACCCGGTGCCTATCTCCCCCAGTGCCTAACCCAACTGATGCCTCGTTCACCCGGTGCTTAACCCACTCGGCGCTTCACTCACCCAGCCCTCACTCCCCTGGCGCCTACCTCACCCAGCGCCTGACGCACCCAGCGTCTGTCTCACCTGGCGCCTGACTCACAAGGCGCCCAACTCACCTGGCGCCTCACTCTCCAGGTGCCCAACTCACTCGGCGCTTAACTCACCCAGCGCTTGCGCCTGGCGCCTGACTCGCCCTCCTCCGCATCCTCCTCCCTGTGCTCCCCCTCCTCCTCCTCCTCCTCCTCCTCCTCCTCCTCCTCCTCCTCCTCCTCCTCCTCTGTCTTCCACCTCCTCCGCCTTCTCCTCTTCCTCCTCATCCTCCGCCTTGTAATCCTCCTCGTCCTCCCGCTCCTCCTTTTCGTCCTCGTCTTTGTCCTCTTCGGGGGGGTGCGCGCGCGGGGCGTGCCGAAGATACGAAGCGGAGACGGCGGCGACGACGACGACGACGACGACACCGACGGCGACGCCAGTCAAACGAAGAAAGCGGAGGAGGAAGAAGATAATGAGAGAGACAGGCGCACTGATCACACCTCTCACCGAGTGCCTACCTCACCCGACGCCAAACTCATCTGCTTCGGAACTCACCTGGCGCCGAACTCATCCAACCGAACTCATTCGGCGCGTGATTCACCTGGCGCATAGATCACCTGGCGACTAACTCACTTGGCGCTTCAAATGGAAACGACGACACGGACACGGACAGAGGAGACGCTACAAAACGCCGCTGCTTTGGAGACCGCGCCAACCCAGGATTGGAAGGCAAGCGCCAGCTGGCACAGGCAGGCGACGCGCTACACAGTGCCACTGTCCTTGGCACGAGACCAGTAAGACTCCAAGAGCACACTGACGGGGAAACGCCCGCGCCGATACAGGAAAAAGCGCTACAAAACAACCCTGCTGTCGATAGCACCCCGAACCCACGCTTAGGCAGCAACGGCGCACAGGCACAGGGAGGAACGCGCTACGAGCATACATTCGTTTTGGATGCGGCCCCATATGGCTCCATGACCAGTGTGAAAAGAAGGGCCCACACGGCCACATGCGCAGCATTCGCTACAAAACGTCGTTTTTTCTCTTTCAAAAATGCCCAACTTACCCGGCGCCAACCTCACACAGCGTCTGACTCACCAGGTCTCCCTTCAATCGAATCGGGAATTCGGAATCGGATCGGCCAACATCGGATCGGACGGAATCGAAATCAAGCGCACCAAATCGGACTGGAATCGAAATCGGCCCCCGAATTGGAGTCGGAATCGAAAACGTCACGCCTGAATCGAAGTCGACATCGGGAGAGCATTCCGCTCCCAGGACGAGACGCGCTAGAAAGTGCCGACGTTGTGGAGACGACCCCAGGGCGACTCGAGGACAACGCTGCAGAAGATACGCCCGCACCGACAAAAAAAGAGGTGCTACAAAACGCCGCTGTTTTAGAAAAAAACACCCCCAACCCACGCTGAACAAATAATTCGTCACGCTTCGCGTACCCCCACCTGTTTGGCGGCAGCTTTGGCAGCCGTGAGTGTGCTCACTGGATAATTAGGTTCCGCACGTAGCCCGGGACGACCCTTGACACCGCCTGCGCCTTCGCTTGCGGCCGCGACCAAAAAAAAACACCTGCCCATTCGGAAACCCTGCCCGTGAGAGGTGACGGAAAAGAGACGAAGAGCCACATATAGTGAAACAGAGCGGGCAACCAGGGTAAACAGAGAGACTCTGAGAGCAAGGGTTAAGTCGGGCCTGTCCCCTACAGGGGCATTTTCGACGAAAAATAAAAAATACCCCAGAAATGCCCCCAAAACATACAAAAATACTAAAAAAAGAGTCCCCAGACTATTTTTGGAGTATGTTTTGAAAATGTTGGGGGTATCTTTTTATTTTTCGTCGAAAATCCCCCTGTAGGGAGACAGGCCCGACTTAAAGCAAGGGGGTGGCCTTGGAGTGCCTCTTGAGACCATCCCTGGAGTCCGCGTGGGGGCGAGAGAAGGAGGAGGAGAAAGACGACGACGACCACCACGAAGACGAGGAAGAGGAGGAAAAGGAAAGGAAGACGATGAGGGCAAGGACGAGGACGAGGAGGAGGACAACGAGGACAAGGACACAGCCCTCAACATCGCCTCTTGGAGCCCTCTTACTCTTTTGGAAGATATTGGAATCCTCTAGGGGGACTCGTGGGAGGTCTTGGGGCCCTCTTCGAACCTTCTTGGGAAGTCTTCGGGCTCTCTCGGGGGCCTGGTGGGAATGTCTGGGAGGTATCGTGGGGGGAGTCGGTGAAAACGCCCGGACGGACTCACAGAGAACGCGCTACAAAACGTAGATGTTTTGCAGAACAGGGTCACCCACGGTGGAAGAGAAACGGCCACAGTGGCACAAGCAGGAGACGCATTTCAAAATGCCAGCTGCCCAGTGCCTACCTTGCCTAACTAAACCGGTACCTAACTCACCTGGTGCTTAACTCACCCGGAGCCTAACTCACCTGGCGTCTGTACCTAACTGACTCGGTGCTCAACTCATCCGTCCTAACTCACTTGATGCCTAACTCACCTGGCCTAACTCACCCGGTGCCTTAATCACCCGATGCCTAACTCACCTTCTGCTGAACTCACCCAGCTTAACTCACCCCGTCGCGATTCACCAACACCGAGGGCCGGCTGAGTCGCAGCGGATGAATCACGATCGGGTGAACCAGCCAGTCTCCCGAAGAGACTCCAAAAAGAACGAGGACTCTGACCCACAACCCAGGCATGGTGGCGGGATAGGCCGAAGGCCATAACACCTGCTTGGCACGGGGACGGAAATGCATTTACTTTCAGAGCGCAAGAGATCGCTGACTGACGCATCCGTCACTCATCCTCCTCTTTCCCATCTTCCCCTCGCCCTCATCTCATCCTATCACGCTTCCCTCATTCCTGCTCTCTTGACTGGAATGTCGCGTTGTGGCCCTTTTTGTAATGCCCTGGGCTTCCGTCCTGGCCCTTCCTGGGCCGTCTTGGGGCCATCTTGGGCCGTCTTGAGGCCCTCCAAACTCTTCGGGGCCTCTTGAGCCGTTTTGGCGCAATCTCGGGGATTCCCGAAGCTGTCTCGGGTCGGTCTTGGCCCAAATCAGCAAGAAGCGCAACAAATGTCAGCAGCCTGCAGCACATCTGCCAAGTTAGCCTCGTCAAGCCCGTTGGGGTGTCCTCTTGGGGGCCTCTTGGGGCACCTTGAAGGCCTCTGGGACCGCCTTGATGCCATCTTGTGACGTTTTGGAACGCTCTTGGCGCGTCCCCGAGCGTTTTGAAAAGATCTCGGGCTGTTTTTGTTCGAGCGACGTTGGGTCATCTTGGACCGTCCTGGAACTATCTTGGGCCGTCTCCGAGCGTTTTGGCGCGCTCTTGGGCCAATGTGGACCGTCTTGGTGCGTTCAATGTAACCTTTTTCAGCGCGTTTGCCTCCTCAGGCCCTCTTGGGGAGTCTCTTGGGGCATCTTGGCGGCCTCGTGGGCCGTCTTGCGACCATAGTGGGCCTCTCTGAGGCCGTCCTGAAAATACCTTAGGCTTGCTCACGCGCTCACGCGGAATTAACGCGAGCCTACGAGCTTACGAGGGACTTACGCAGAGCTCGCACGGCCTAGCGCACCCAATGAAACCAAGGAGACCCCTAAGACAGCCCGAGACGCCTCCGAATTACGAAAAGCTTACGCGTTTACGCGGAGCTTACGCGAGCTCACGCGGAGCTTACTTTTGGGTACGCGGGCGCGCGAAACGAGTCGAACGACGTGTAAGCAGGGGCAGGCCGTGCCACAAGCCAAAGAAAAACAAAACGTGAACAGCGCCAAACACAGAGCGAGATGGAACACATAGCAACCACAATGGCGCGGGCGGCATCACGAAACGGCACCGGGAACGCGTCCGTGTAGGTGTCGAACAGGATGCAAGTCAGTGGAAGGCGAAACCACTGGCGACCGCGGAGAGAACGCCACACGTACCCAGAACGGCGGCGACGTACAGGGCGAGAGAGACCGTCGTTCGATTCCCCAGGTACGCATGTCGAACTCGACGTCCATGAAACCTCCGGCCAGACAGACATAGAGCGACAAGGCAACCCCGTTGGAGCAGCGTGAACGACACCGAGGGACCGGCGCGGGCAACGCGAGGAAGTCGCGCCGTGCGAACGCCGAGGAGACAAACCTTCAGGTCCCCAGGTACTAGAACGCGTTGCTGTGCGAGGAAGCGGGGTCGGCCGGGCGGCGACCGCTCCGCGCCCTCCAGCGGGCAGGTCAGAAGCCCCCCAGGCGGGGGCAAACGCAGGCAGACTGACTGCACATGCTCAGTGAGGAGGGAG